TGCATCATTAGTGCTGAATCTCAGCAGCATTCACACTAGATCAGATCATTAATTTAATTTCCTTCCTCGTGCTGGGAAGTATTGTGGTCTTAGCATGAGTTTGTGCTTTATATAAAACAAGACACCAGCCTCCCTATATGGATAACTGAAAGTGAATATGTGTATGTGCCTAATCATAAAATATAAATATTCTGCTAAGCAGCTTAATGTTTCTGAATCTCTGCAGAAATTTCACATTTGACATACTTAAATTTTGCATGCAGACAGACATATGGACAAGCAACATACACCTGCACCCACAAAGTGCAAGACAGTATGCAGTATGCAACTCTTTTGCAAGTTTAAAGAAAGCCAGAATCCTTCTGTACCCTTCTGCTTTGCCATCACAAAATGAAAGGCCTCAAAGGTTTCTGCTCTCTCCCAGAAAGAGAAAAGGGGCATTTCTGTTTTACAAAAACAAAACTGCGTCCAAATGAGTCAAAAAGTGAAATAAAATGGTAGCAAGCTACAGTTGCTGCAGAAGTAAAAATGAAGGCTGATGCATCGTATGGGAACTCCTGTCCCTGTTGGGATGCGCATGGAGAGCTTGAGTTTTAGTAAAATAAAAATCATGTTGTTTTAACCGTTTGTATAACTTAGTACAACAGAAACCAGACAGTGGTGGTAGTGCGACACCTCCGTCTTTATGTAGTGATGATGACAGCTACTCCTTACAGTGGGAGGGGAAAAAGGGGCTAACTAATGCAATTGGTTGGGCAGCACTTTAGAGAAATTGAAGGCCTTGTGTCCAAGGCTCCTTTCAAACCCCTTGACATCCAATACTCAGATAAAATGAGCTATAGACGTTTTGATCGCTGCCGAGTAAAAGACGGTTGTCAGTGGCTTGGCTGTGTGTGTCTGGGTGGGGTGGAGGCAGTTCTGGTCAAGTTGTCTTGCTGTGGTCTTTGGGGATTGTTTTACTGAAACAGTCTTTTTATGGGCGTTTTCAGTAAAGCCTGTTTTGGACCATTGCTTTCCCAATGAACTTCTGTGCCCAGCTTTTAAATCAGATGGACTGCATGCGCAGAGGTGGGCGAGGGAGCACACATGAGTATCACACTTGTGATCACTTCATGAGTTGGGAAACAACAGTGACTGAGGACTTAGGTGTGGCCATTTTCACAGACAGCTGCACTTGACAACATGTGGGAGTTACCTGGCATCTACTGGATGTAGTTTTCCATTGATTTTTGTGTGGAATTGATTTATAGAGCTATTTAATGGAATTGATTCTTTTTACAACTTTTTTTTTTTCCTCTCTCAAAGGCCAACTGTTTTTCTTGAATGATGGTTCCAACTTTCCGCTTGTATACAAATACATACACGCAGACACCCAAGCAGTATGATATATTCACCCTCCCTTCAATGGCAATCTAAATGTTGAGCATCTCCTTTTACCTTTTGAGTATTAGATTTGATGTATGAGCTGGAATAAATGCAGCGTGCTGGAACTTGCAAGATGAAATCCTAGTTGTGGGTATAACCACAGACCGGTGGTCCATTAAACCAGTGACTATTGGGAATGTCAGTTGTGGTCATGTCTGGGGCACAGCACTCCCTTTGAGTTAACATAGGTAGACATTTTCATTCTTTCTGACTGATGAACAGAGGGACAAAAATTCAGAATTCACTGAAGGGAAATATGGAATTGCGCAGCCTCTCTCTGCAAGTATCCAGCTAGGGATGAATATTAGTTCAGTTAGCTTTTCTTACACTCTGTCCCCCAAAGCAGATTATATTCAGAATATTATACAATTACAGAAATATTGCCAAGAAATAGAAAGTTGGAACTTTTAGTTTTACTCTTTGTAGCTTAATACAGTGAATAGGTTTATTTTGCTGTTTTCTTAGATTTGGGTTAAACTTTTGATTGGACATTATGACCCTATGGCAAATTACTAGGGCTCAAAAATGTATGCTTTTGGCTTGGCATCCCTACTAACAAGGAGGTGCTGCTGGACAAGTGAAGAGCTAATCTCCAAAATAGGCAAGGCTTTAGTGATTTTATTTATTTATTTTTTTTAAACCACAACTCTGCAACCTTGACTTTTTTTCACCCAGAAACAAATGCCATCAGGTTTCGGAGAGGATTACAAGTAAATTGCTATGTCCACTTTTTAACTGGCTGGGGGCTTGCATTCACGCAGGAACTGTTGTGCATGTATTGTTGCAATATGCTTTTAGCCATTAAGGATCTACCTTCCAGTCTTAGATTATTAGGATTAAGAGCTGCTGGCCAGCCGTCTTTTGGTACAAGTGATGAAGACTTTGGTACCACATCCTAGTAAATCTTACAAGCACGCTTGCAGGGGAAAAAGGAACTTTACCATTGCTTTGTGAAGGAAAGCTGAAGCAGTTGGATTGGCTTGTATTTTTATGGTGTTGTTTTATATACTATGGTCATGTTGTAAACTGGAGTTTCTGTTTGTTTGGACATCATACCAGGTATTTTGCAGTCTGTCTCTCTTAACAGCCACGTCTCTATCTTGCCATCACATGCCCTGAATATCTAGGTGGATTTAACAAAACCAGCAGAGAAGGCAGGCTCTCTTATCTGTCTTGCCCCATGCCAAGCCTC